ACTCACCAGTTGCTCGACCGCTTCGGTTAGTCTTTCACACCTATTCAGTAGCACAGCTAGCTAACAAATGGAATAGACTTGCATACTTGGCAAAACCAAGGCGACTCTGCGGTGTTTGCTTGAGTCGACTTATTCCCAAAGCAGGTAGTGTGATAGGTTTTCAAGCACATGGTACACACAAGACCATTTTTTCACCACTTTGGCACATGATTGGCATTTGCTTTTCATACGAGACATGTTCTCAGTAGGGGTAGGGATGGGATGGAGATACTGACGCACCGCTGCGTGGCGATCGGCGCTGGTTTGAGGTCAGCAGGTCCAGGCGATGTGCGTGCTATCGATCCAGACGGGTAGACAGCGATGCTAGACAAAGCGACTGAGGCAAAGCAAGGTGACTTGGAAAATACTGTCTAGTGACGACAGTGGCAGTTCCAAACGCAGAGCAAATTGACGACTATCGCTTGTAGAACGACTTGAAGGAATGGCAGTAAGCTGATCGGGTGACTGTCAAAAAGATCTTTAAAATAAGACCACAAGAGTTCTTATGCGACGAGAGGAAAAATAAAACATCCGAAAAGCTTCAAATACGGTTGACTTCGAATTTCCAAGAGCACAGTTTGTTGGTGATCCGTGAATGATAGATCCAATAGATGAACAGTGGTAGGAGGAGCTCGCGGAGCCAAATCGAATGATGGCACGTAGGTCTCTGTGAGAATAAATCCAAAGATTTGGAGGCGAATAACGCAGGAGGACAGTTTTTTTGCGACCGCACTGTAGTGTCAATCTAGCGGTAGGTAGGCGAGGTGCTCGACTGTACATCAATTGGAATGGTGCTTTTTAGTAGAGGCTTGTTTGGATGTTTCATGGGTCAGAAACCGCAGTTGTAAAGCTTGCTGCATCATCATCCTCATCAGTACACGTTAGCTGAGGATGAGAAACACACTTTGGCTACCGTGCTGCAATACAAAAAGATAATGACTAAAAAGTACATTACAGGATAAGGTGTTACATATTATATTATGCGTTTTGCATGAGATTGGGATTGGAGGGTGAACCTCAAGGAAAGGGGATGGACATAGAAACGCACAACACAAACGCCACTGGGGCCGGCTCTTCGCCATATCAACAAGTGTGTCCAATCAAACGTGTTCATCGACCTTAGGACCCCACTCAGGCAGTCGGGATGCAACAACCTACGCCAGTTCCGAAGTGAGGGTTTCCATTCCTCTCTACCAAGTCATCGCTTGACATCCCCTCCTCCTCACTTGGTTTACTCATGCATCTAAGACCTGGTGGCATATATTGAGTTGCCCTCGTATACCGTCCTCCGATGTCAATTTTAGAATTGTATAGCCATCTAGCCTCAGCAATGAAACCGTTCTGGCTCAACTCAACAGTCACGTTCTCTTTGTGGGGGGACTTAAACTTGCACACACTAGCTATTCCGACCCCAGTCGGCCAGCAGTTTAAAGCCCAACTGCAAGAATCATAATCATAATCACGGTAAATGAATAAATAAATCTTTATTCTCGACAAAGCGAGTCACGCCATTTGGGCTTGATCAGAATAATCCATTATTGTACATAGTAGTATAATGAGCAGGTCGAAGAGCAGGAGTACTACAGTTGTAGTCAGTTTTGTGGGCCAAAATGGCTAAAAGAATGAGTGAAGTTAATCCTCGAGCGTACTGTGGTACACTTCGGCAGGCATAATCAGAATTGTGTAGGCGAACTGGTTTGCAAAGTACGAGATGTAAAGATAAGAATTACTGAGATCGATGGAGTGGAGCGTATTGGTGAAGAACTGATTTGATGAGGTTGTGTACACAGTGTGGGTCAGGTGCGTGAAGCGTGAGCACCAATCTGTAAAAACGTTTTAAGAATAGTGACATGTCACTGATCAAACATGAACGTTTAGTTGTATGAGAGCTGTTGTATGCACAGAACTTGTGAAATGTGGTATCGGTCAACTTGCCTTGGCGTGGTAGGAGGCAGTGATTTTATTGAGTGGCGAGTCACATCCGACACGTCGCAATGTCGTCAGAGATATTTTTTGGTATTTTTGTGACCAGAACGCTTGGCAGGCAAAAACCCACCACCTCCTGGAACACTGCCGACCGGTGATATGACATTGACGGGACGGCCTTTTGACCCATTGTCTTCGCGGTTATTCGCAGTGGTGCTTTTCCAATTTGTTTCCGTCAGCTGAGTGGTTGGCTCCTTCGGAGTCGATCACGATTGATTGGAGCTGGTTAAGTCGGACGACTCAGGTGACCAGTATTCTGTAAATTCGTTTTCCGTTCCTTTGATGTATCAGGATTGCGAGGTATAGAAGATTGCAATGACCTGTGTTGTGTCCGTAGCCAGGTTGGCGTCGCAGGTATGTCCTCGGAGGTGTTTCATGTAGATAATGATATTCATTAGAAGAGGAGAACAAACCGACAATTTTGGGGCCCGTTTTTACGAACGAGGAACTTATGATCCACCCGGTGCTAATGAGTAGTCCTTTGGGCGCAGTGGTCATGCAACTGCTTTTCTGCTACGTGTGCTACCCTGAACAGTTCAACAGGCACGTCGAAGTTGTCAGTATATTCGCACATCACAACATTTTATCTGATATCATCAAGACCACTGGTTGGGTGTTTCTAGCGGAACAACCCCTTGATGTCTCTTGGGGAAAGTACGTCAAGCAATTCAACTTTTTAGTAACGAAAGCACCAGGGAGTAAGGTCCTTAGCTCAGGAAAGGTAAAGTTCCTTTTGAGAAGCAGGACGCAGGAACAAATGACTTTGCAAGATTCACTTCGGAGAGTATAAAAATTCGATCTAAACGGCGGAAAATGGCATACTTACCGAACTGAGCGAAATCACTGTGTCAAGCTGACCGCGAAGATAGACTGAAACACCAATAAGAGTTGGCGAAGAAGTTCTGCTGCAATCCTAGGCTACTTGACAGGCATGTTAACAAATTTCGCAAAGTGAAGCGAGGCATCCCTCCTCCAAACACCGACTGTAAGCAGGCCTAAACTACTCACGAAGCAGCTAGTGCTTTTAGACATCAGTTCGCTTGTACGCTTCGGAACGCATCGTCGTCTCATATCATTCGCACACATATCACATCACACCAGGGCATAGCCACATCACCTGCACTACCGCGGAAGTGCTGAAGCGACTGATGTCACTACACGAGTTTAGTTCAGCTGGTCAGATAACATATGCCCCAGTTTATTCATGGTAGCTACTATGAGATCGGATGAACCACTATCTCAGTTTTACAGTACTGTCTGGACGAGATGCATGTCTTAACCATGTGGAAGCGTAGAATGGTCGCTCCAGTTACAAGAGAGAGAATGGCGCATTTCCTGCAAACTATCGCCTGTTTACCCTACTTCCGGTGCTCGCTTATTTCAAGTAATCTGTCGATAAAACTGTTCCCATAGGATATTCACTAAGTTGCCATAACATAGTGCAGAAGCAGCATGGATTCCGCCAAGACCACTCACGCACCATGAATCATGTTTTAGCCTGTGTCAGCTGGACAGAACCCGTGGATGATAGGGAAGGATTCGACGTCGCTTACCTTGATTTCTTGAAGCCATTTGGTCGCCTAGACCACTGGATTCTTTTTCGTACTCTGCGGAGCTACGGAATCGGTGATCCTATCCTAGTCTGCATTCATTCATTCTTAATACAACAGCGCATGAATGTGTGGGTTCACACACCCTGTCCGACCCGATAGAGGTTCATCGTGGCGTCCCCCAAATCTCGGTACCAGAACCACGGCTATGCCTCGTGTACAGAAACGATCTCGCAGGAGTGCTGATGTCACACTTTCTACTCTTGACGGACGATCTCACAATTTGGTTGGCAAGCAAACGAGTATACGACCACAAAGCCCTGGAACGGTATCTCGATAGGGCTTACGAGTGGTCGGCCAGGAACATTCGTGAATTTACCATGTCTAGTCTAAAATAATCAACATACGCCATCACCAAACTTACTAATATCGATTAAGGGAACACGTTTTGTAGAGCGTTTCTCATGAAAGTGGTCTTGGGGCGCTTGTGCAGGAAGATCGCAGATGCTCAAAACAGGTCGACATGTCAGTGGAAAAAGGTAGTCTACAATTGGACATGCTGCAAAGGTACTTTTCCCTTTTGTTTCCTCCTTGGTTTCGCAAATGCTCGAAGCTTATGTGACGCCACATATGGAATATGCCATCCAGGTGTGCCATCCAGGTGTGCCATTTTTTGAAAATATCGTGACCCCACTCTCTTGAGAAGTCACAGCGGAGGGCGATAAAAGTGTTAAGGGTTTGCTCCAACTCTAATAACAGCTGAGATTAAATACTCTAGTTTTCCGTGAGCAGAATTCTCTTCTGCGAGGTGATCTCGTATTGGGGTATCAGATCCTCAAGGATTCTAACCACCCATGACGACCCTTATAGAAACTCAGGTATAAAAGTTT